GCTCAGGAAGTATCTTACCCTCTGAATCTACATGGGAGACTGCGTCTATATCCACAGCACATGGTGGTCATGTCCAGTTTATAGCTGCTAAGCATCCTAAAAAAATTCTAGCCATCAAAGCTGAAATAACTGCACACCTCTCTTAAGAATTTAAATTTCTTGAGGGAATGATAATTGATGATCTTTTTCCAAATGTTTACCTGGGGAAGAATAAACCAGCAAGATTGGATTCAAGTCCCCACAAAAGGGAATGCCGGAGTGGGAGTGTTCTGTGGGCATGTTTTATTTGCAAGAATGGAGGGAAACAAATAAACAAACACCTACAAGATAAAAAAAAAATCTTTACTCAAGAGCAACAGTAATTTAGTTCAAGAATTAAATCCCTGCTAACACACAGCTTCTATTCAAGCAAAGCATGTATCTGTAAAGTTGTGGTTTGGAATCCCATTATGCTTGTATTCATAGTTATAACATTATATATATGATGTAATATTATATATTATATGTATATATGTTTTTGTTCATAGTTCTTTATTCCTAAGTATTTGACCTTTTGCTCTTGGTTCCTGGAGCTCCCAAGGCAGTCCATAGAAACTAAAATGATACTCTAATCTTCCTTAAACTTTGTGTCTTGGAACTAGTTATAAAGAAGTTAAGACCCTCATTTTAGGGGGTCCATAAATAAATGTCCCCCTAAAATAGATAATGCACAGGGAGGCCAAGAAGAATCTGAACAGGCCTGACTGGGTTTCCCTACTCAGTCTGTGAGCATTAGGTCATATCCTTTCCTCCTATCATAGTCTACATGGTTACCTGTACTTCCGTCATGCCTATGCAATGAAGTCTCCATGGAAAACCCAGAGATAGCATCTAGAGAGCTTCTGGGTAACTGGACACATGGAAGTTCCTGGAGGGAGGTGCATCTGGAGAGGGCATGGGAGCTCCGTGCTGTCCCATGTGATTTTCACTATGCATTTCCTCATCTTAATATCCTTAGTATCCTTAATAAATTCCTTTTTTTTGTTTTTTGTTTGTTTGTTTGTTTTCTTTTGTTTTTTGTTTAGAGATTTTTTTGCTTTAGGGTGCATACACTCGCCAGAGAGTCAGAAAGCAAGAAATCACCTCCCAGGAGGGATAGCCATGCCACAATTCCTTCTCTTCCATTCTCCTCTTGGGATTTTGAGTACACATACACATGTGCCCAGTATGAGTTTTAAGCACTGGATCAGGGAATTGAACCTCATTAGACTATGTGAGAGTCCAGCGATGTAACCATTACACCATCTTCTGGTCCCTGTAAAGTCTTTTTTAATAAACTGGGAAACATATGTGAATGTTCCCTTGAGTTCTGAGAGCCACTCTAGCAAATTAATCTAATCCAAAGAGGAAGTTGTGCATATCCCAAATATTTGCTTGTTAATCAGAAGTTCTGGAGGCCTAGACTTTTAACTGGTATCTGAAGTAGGGACAGCCTTATGAGACTGCATCCTGAACCTGTGGGATTTGATGCTATCTCCAGGTAGATCATGTCAGAATTAAATGAGATGAGAAGATGCCCAGCTGGCACCTGCTGCAGAACCGCTTGCTTGCTGATGGGGAGGAGTACTTGCATATTTTGGGATCACAGAAGTGATCTGTGTTGTAAATGTGCATTATGAGATATTGAGTTTGTTTTCCTGCTTACAACAGTGGGGTAGACAGTAATGTTGGGGCAGCCACAGGACATAGCTAGACATTGAGATGTTCATCTAGGTAGGCTTTGGGCTGTGGATAACAGGTTATTTCCACAGGGAATGGAAGGAATTTGTGTATGAATCATCATGTTTCTATGTATCTGTGCATGCATGTAGCTACATATGTGTGTGTATGTGCAAATGTAGTCATGCGGGTATATGTATGGATAAATATGCATATATGTGACTGCAGTATTGAAAGAGTTTCAGTAGCTCAGCTTCTTCTCAATGGTTGCTGGGATTGTGTGCTTTGACAATACTTCACAAAGCAGCTCTTAGCTGAACGAGGCTCAGAGGTGTTGGGGTCGATCTGCACACTGCTCACTGCGGAGGGACTGTGCTGGCATCCTTCTCTGGCAGTTTGTCAGGGTGCCGCTCCTTGAGAACATTCCAGTCATAGCTTAGAAAGCTTGCTTTTTCTGGAGCAGTGTGAGGACTGAATGAATACAACAAAATACCCATCCACATTCCTCACAGTCATGGGTAAGAGTCTTGCTCCCCTCCTCGGGTTCCCTTATAGTGACGGGAGTCACTATAGTGGGGCATTAACTCCTGGGATGGCTTATTCCTTAGAATCTTAACTTCTATATTGTTGATTCAACCCTAAAATCTTGTTAGATTCTGCCACTACTTGTCTTTGGTTGTGGAGTTTGTTATTTATTTTCTTTGAAGGGTCAAAAGGGCAGAAATGTGCACATGAACATTTATTTGACCATGAACACAGCAGATAGAGAATTATGAAACAAACAGGACTCATTATTTTAGTTGAAATCCTGGATTTGTGTCTGACTATGTGTCATTGTGAAATGTGGTCCTTGCCGTGGGTCGTTATAACCTGGAGACCTGGTTAGCTGCTGGTCAGCAAGAGTGTGGAAGGATCTCCCTGTTTATAGGCAGAACGACCAGCTGAGACTGGACCATTGAGTCGTTGAATGACTTTTCTGATGACCCAATGGCAGAAACCTAGTATTCTTTCCAAGACTTCTTCCTGCTACTTACTGCTGTTAATTTGACAAACTAGCTACCCACTTTAGCAAGAAGTAGAATTGAGAGATTATTTGGGGTAAATAAAAATGATATCTCTGTTCATTTGCTGGAAATGTTTATGGCAGAAGGGGAGCCTATGGACAAATTCCTGGCATATTGAAATATTCCTCTGCAACTTGACATTTTTTTATATAGTGTTTTTTCAAGGAAACTTACTACTAATATAGCCTACTGATTTTACAGTATATATGTATTGGTCCCCCCAGACTAACAATCAACACCATCAAAATCTGAAAGGAAAGTCCTAGGAAGCTTAAAAAGAGAAAAAAAGGTCTACAGGGAAAATGAGGACCCAGATTTCTAATTAGATAGCACAGGGAGAGGTTAAGGTAGATAATATTAATGATTTTATCTGAGTTTGACACCAGTTCCTAAGAATTAGGTGGACATTTGTTAAAAAATCTAGATTTGCAGACCCTCACTCCAGACATACTTAATGAGAATCTCCAGGAAAGGGATTCAGGAATATTATTTTAATAAACATCTTAGGTGATTCTTGTGGTTAAACAAATTTGAGAATTTGTTTATTAGAATTTAAATATTTCCAAAAGATGTGAGGGAATGTGTGTGTGTGTGTGTGTGTATGTGTGTGTGTGAGAGAATGTGTATGCATGCATGCTTGCACATGTATGTATGCATGCATGCTTGCACACGTATTTGCTAAGGATTCTAAAGTTGGAAGGAAAAAAACCTGTTAAATATTCCATATTGGCATTGTTAAATAGTTCTTGATAAAAACTTCTGTAATTTGTCTATGGTTGTGTGGCTACACAGGTTTGTCCATGTACTCTCTCACCTGACTCTACTGATCCTATGAAGAGATCAGAAGTGATGATCTTGCTCACCCAGATTATGCATGGAAAATGTGCTCAGTGTGTGGCTGGCAAGTGGTAGGGCTGGCTTGGAACAGGGCTCTTCACCATATGAGGCAAAGTCCAATACCAACCCGGAACCCATCACTTTTCCTCCTTACTCCACACTCCAGTCACCAGGCTGGTTGCTGTGTTTCAAACCATGATCAGGTTCTTTTGCGTGCCTTGCTCCCTTTGCCTGGAATGCCCTTCCTTCTCAGTCTGCAGTCTCGTTAAGATAACTTCCATGAGCTTTTCTTTATCCACTCTTCTTCGTCTGACCTCCTCCCTAAGCAGAGCTAGTTGCTCATTTTGCTGTGTAGCCGTCATTCTTTGCAGCCCCTTTTGAGGTTGTTTAATGTAGATGAGTTCAATAATAAGAGCCCACATTGGCCCCTCTCTTGCTTCCTAACTTGCTGTGGAGCCACTTACTGTAAATAGGCAGTGAATGTAGTCTGTTTGAGACAGTCAGAGCTTGTTGGCTGTGAGAAAAGCTATGGGATGCATTTGGGAATGATTTTAAGGGTTTTGCAAATATCAACAATGAAGCATTCAGGTGGTCAGACATGTGGCCATCAACATTCTTTAGGAATGAAATCTTTGCGGCTACCAAACATTGTCTACTAAATGGAGGAGTGATAAGGGACTGTCTTAGTCTGCTCAGGCTGTCATAACAAAATAACCAATCGGGCAGCTTAAACAACAGAAATTTATTTTCTCACAATTCTGAGCCTGAAAGTCCAAAATCAAGAGCCATCAGAGTTGGTGTCTAGTGAGGCCTCTTTTCCTGGCTTGCAGAGAGACACCTTCTCACTGTGTCCTTGCATGGTCTTTCTTCTGTGTGCAGGCTGAGTGGGTGAGAGCTCTGATGTCTCTTCCTTTAAGGACACCAGACTTATTGGATTAGGGCCGCATACTGATGACCTCATTTAACCTTAATTATCTCCCGAAAGACCCTGTGTCTAAATACAGTCACAGTGGGGTTTAGGGTTTCAACATGAATGGGGGGAGGCACAATTCAGTCCATAACAGGGACTGTATATACAAAACCACATATTTGATCATTTCCTTTCAAGAGAAGATAAAGGCCTATCCAGGACAGTTTCTACTGTGGGTGATTTCCATGTTACACTCTAGTTCATAAGCCAATGCTAGATATGACTGTCTGTCATAGCTTTCAGATCCTATCACAGTTGTTGTGTGATGTAAATCACGCAAAAACCCCACTAGACTTTCAGTGAAAGTCATTCTGAGTCTTAGTCATCTTTGTCTGCTGGTTGATCATTTTTGAATACCCTTTTAGGGAACAAGTCCTCTTGTAGTCTTCTGCATCTGAAGGAACTTAAATGTATTGATTACAGTTCTAATTCCAATTCTCTTGTGTTTGCAGCCACCATTGGTCCAAGCGATCTTCAGTGGGGACCCAGAGGAGATACGGATGCTCATCCACAAAACTGAAGATGTGAATGCTCTGGTAAGAGCTACTGTGGTTTTGTCTCTCAGGCCCCAAAGGGCCAGCAAAGACTCTTAACCTTTTAGGCACTATAGATCCCTTTGGATCTATATACATGTCTCAGAATACTGTTTTTGAATCTATAAAATAAAATGTACAAAGTTAGAAAGGAAACCAATTAGTGGCCAGCACGGCCATTAAGGTGCTGGACTCCCATGTGGCCAACCTTGGTTCTAGTCCTGGACCCGGTGGCTTGCTTTCTCACTTTCCCCCTCTCTCTCTCTGTCTCTCTGGTCAAATTAAAAAATAATGATAATAAACAAAGTTAAATAATTTTCTTAAAAAAGAAAGGAAATCAATTATATTGAAATGCAGTTATTCAGATATTAAAATTCAAATTTGTGATATAGTAGCATATATTCTTTTTTAAAACTTTACAACATAACTATTTGATGATTATTATTATGACCAAAGTATTAGGCAGTTTTCATACATTTTCCACCTCGTACAAAATTCCAAATTAATTTTTCTTCCAGGTTGGCAAGGAGTTGTAGAATTGAAAAGCTCTCTAAATGTTATTTTCATTGTTCCAACTTACAAAATATTTGGTGCGCTTTCTTACAAAAGTGACTTTGAATATGAAATATTTAGTGTTCTTTTATGATTGGTAATTGTTTTCTGTATTGTATAAAATGGATCAAAAGGGACCAGAAGATGGCATAATGGTTACATCACTGGACTCCCACATAGTCAACCCACATAGTCAACCACAGTTTGAGTCCCTGGTGGCTTAAAACTCATTTTGGGTGTGTGTGCATGTGTGTCCAAAATCCTGAGGGAAGAATGGAGGAGAAGGGATTGTGATGTGACCATCTGCCCTGGGGGGTGATTTTTCATTTTCTGTCTCTCTTTTTCTGTCTCTCTGGCAAGCACACATGCCCTATGGAAAAAAATCTCTCTTAAAATAAATAAATAAAATGGATTAAAAATGTAAGTCTATTGGGAGAGGTTAAGTATTTATTGCTACAACTTAGTTGATAAATTGATATTAGTGTAAAGCCATATGTTCTGTTAAAGTCCTGTTTGCTCGAAATGATTATATCTATGGGTGCAACACTAGAATATTTGGAGTGTATATGGCTTGTGGTTTGGGTTCCTTGGTTTTTGTTTTTGTTTTTGTTTCCTTTCTTCTTCTTTTTCTTCTTTCTTTCTTTCTTTTTTTTTTTTTGTAGTTTCATCTGCCTTTTAACCCACTCTCCAAAATTTGCCTTGGTATCAGTCCTCACCAATGAACATTTCAGAGCAATCTGCATATGTAACCTACATAAATGGTATTAGGCAAGTCAGTGGCAAAATGCTTGTGCTGCTGATGGAATTAGAGTGCATTCATTTTACAGGCTAGTATTTTAAAAGAAGAAATCAAAATCTGGTACTGAAGCATGTTCACTGTTTTACTGTACCCTGTGAGACTTTCACTCCTACCTGTATATTTTTCTTTTTTTAGAACTGGTGTGTGTGTGTGTGTGTGTGTGTGTGTGTATGTGTGTGTGTGGAGAGAGACTATGGATGCATGTTAAATGTAATTTATTAATGTAATTTTTATGCCCATATAAAATATATCACAACCTTCTCAAACAGTTGAAGCAATATATTATTGCCCCATGGTCTGATGACTTCACCTCTTGCACTTTTTGATGCAAATCAGGTTTTAGTTTCTGTAATAGAAAATTATTCACATCTTTTTACATCATTTGTTTTTCCTGATCAGTATATAAAATCAAAATGATATTCTGAAAAATGGTCTACAAATTTTTTTAAAAATAGCATCCCAAGCAGCATGCCTAAACAGTACATGGCATATGGAAATAAAAGAATCACATGCCTAATGCCTTCTTCCTACCGCTTTTCCATTTGGGCAGTTGATCATGGCAAACCTAGCACTCCATGGACAGTGGAAAAGCAGGGAGCCTTGGGACAGGTGACTCACTTGACCTTTACACACCTCCTCAGGAACCTAGCTCTTCTCAGAAGAGACTGTCCTTGTGCATTCTCCCCACTAACTTAGCACCACCGGAGGACGGGGCTCCTTCTTCTTGTCTCAGGGATGCCTGCCTGGTGTGATACAGAGCTTCGGGGACTGCTGGTAGGTAAGGTGCATTTGTCTTACGTGGCAGTGAGTTTTGGTGTCCATGGTCAGATGGGCTCCAGCGATGGCCCACACTGCCTCAGTGGTCTGTGTTTGGTTGACATTTCCATCCCGTTCAAGGTGCACAGCGTCTCACTTCATTCTACTTTTGGACTCTGCAGGCACCTCAGTGAGCAAGCTCATGTGTGGACCAGGCGGCATGTGCTCACAGCTCTCTTCAACCACTCCTGTGGTGTGACCTCAGGCAGGGTAACTTCTCTTCTTCTCAGCTTCTTTCTCACGCTGGTGGCTGGGGAGTCTGTGTCCTGTAGCCATGGTAGGCCAACTGTGGTCTGTCACAGCTGTTTTCTACAAGCTGCCAGTGAAGAAGGGTTCTGATTTTTAAAATGGTTAAGAACAATGAAGAGAATAATAATATGTTGGACAGATGAAAGTGATATGAGCATCACACTTTAGTGTTCATCAATAAGGTTTTTCTGCTTCTTCCTTTACACATCATCTGGTGTGTGTGTGTGTGTGTGTGTGTGTGTGTATGTGTGTGTGTGGAGAGAGACTATGGATGCATGTTAAATGTAATTTATTAATGTAATTTTTATGCCCATATAAAATATATCACAACCTTCTCAAACAGTTGAAGCAATATATTATTGCCCCATGGTCTGATGACTTCACCTCTTGCACTTTTTGATGCAAATCAGGTTTTAGTTTCTGTAATAGAAAATTATTCACATCTTTTTACATCATTTGTTTTTCCTGATCAGTATATAAAATCAAAATGATATTCTGAAAAATGGTCTACAAATTTTTTTAAAAATAGCATCCCAAGCAGCATGCCTAAACAGTACATGGCATATGGAAATAAAAGAATCACATGCCTAATGCCTTCTTCCTACCGCTTTTCCATTTGGGCAGTTGATCATGGCAAACCTAGCACTCCATGGACAGTGGAAAAGCAGGGAGCCTTGGGACAGGTGACTCACTTGACCTTTACACACCTCCTCAGGAACCTAGCTCTTCTCAGAAGAGACTGTCCTTGTGCATTCTCCCCACTAACTTAGCACCACCGGAGGACGGGGCTCCTTCTTCTTGTCTCAGGGATGCCTGCCTGGTGTGATACAGAGCTTCGGGGACTGCTGGTAGGTAAGGTGCATTTGTCTTACGTGGCAGTGAGTTTTGGTGTCCATGGTCAGATGGGCTCCAGCGATGGCCCACACTGCCTCAGTGGTCTGTGTTTGGTTGACATTTCCATCCCGTTCAAGGTGCACAGCGTCTCACTTCATTCTACTTTTGGACTCTGCAGGCACCTCAGTGAGCAAGCTCATGTGTGGACCAGGCGGCATGTGCTCACAGCTCTCTTCAACCACTCCTGTGGTGTGACCTCAGGCAGGGTAACTTCTCTTCTTCTCAGCTTCTTTCTCACGCTGGTGGCTGGGGAGTCTGTGTCCTGTAGCCATGGTAGGCCAACTGTGGTCTGTCACAGCTGTTTTCTACAAGCTGCCAGTGAAGAAGGGTTCTGATTTTTAAAATGGTTAAGAACAATGAAGAGAATAATAATATGTTGGACAGATGAAAGTGATATGAGCATCACACTTTAGTGTTCATCAATAAGGTTTTTCTGCTTCTTCCTTTACACATCATCTGGCTGTTTTTGTACTGCAACAGCAGCATGAAGTGGTTGTGACAGACTGTATGTAGCCACAAAACCTAAAAAGTTTATTGTCTGGCCTTTTAGAGTAAAGGTTTGCTAACCCCTGCCCCAGAGGGTCCATGAACCTAGGATGAGTGGATAAACTAGGCATCTTGCATGCCCTCTGAAATTCGAGGTAATAGATGTGTGCACTTGAGCACACTGTGTTTTATCTTCTCTTCTTGTTTTTTTTTTTTTTTCCACACACGGTGTGTAAGTTCACCAGAGAGGAGAGAGAAAGAGAGGAGGAAAGTGAAAAATCAGTTCCCCTCGGAGAGGGTGGGCATGGCCATACTGCAATCTCTTCTCCTCCATTCTCCTCTCAGGATTTTGGGCATGCGCATACATGTGCCCTGCATAATTTTCAAGCCACCGGGTCCTGGACGCAAACTGCAGTCAGCCATGTGGGAATCCAGTTACCTGAACCACCATGCCACCTGCTGATCTCCCACAGTATCTATTTTTTTTTCTATGAAAAGGGTCAAAACATTTAGTCAAATTGTGTTTTTGTTGTTGTTTTTCTTTTTCTTTTTTACTTCAGGGCACAAACACGCATCAGAGAGACAGAGAGAGAGAAAGGGAGAGGGAAAGTAAGACATCATTCTTAGAGGGAATGCCCACACCACAATCCTTTTTCCTCTATTCTCCTCTAGGAACTTTGGGCACATACGCATATGTGGCCAGCATGATGTTCAAGCCACCAGGTTCAGGACTCAAACTGCCAAATCGGCCAAGTGGCATCCAATACCTGAACCTCCACACTACCACCTGCTGGTCCCTATTTCAGCAAATTCTTTAAAAGGCTTTGACCTCCAAAAGATTAGGACTCACTGGGTCTAGAAGGTCTTGCACAAACAAACAAATGAACCTGTACTAAAGAAAAGTAAAAGGAGTTAGTCAGTGACTGATCCTTTTATAGTTCCCTAGATCTAGGTTGAACAAGCAATTACATGTCGTGCATGCTACTAATTCTCTTAATATAATTCAATTACCAAAATGCAGAAGTCTGTCAGGGAGAGGAATTCTCTTTGAAGTCTCTCGTGTTAAGTAGAAGCAACAGAAAGAGTAGAATACATCTTTAGGGTGAGAGCTTTGCCACGGGGTGGTGAATTATGTCTAGGTTGTATCTTTATCTGCTCAGCTGAATGTTTTATTCAGAAAGCAAGTCATCTGGGACAGCCCTTGTTC